TCGCATCCCCCGACGAGGAACCTGGTGGCTCATGCTCTTTGAGCTCGCCGGCGTCGTCCCAGCCCTCGTCCTCTTTGGGCTCGCCCAGCCCAATCTCTACCGCACCGACATGTGGCAGATTGGCTGGGACCACAGGCTCAACTCCAACCCAGCCAGGATTCTCTACGCCTACGCCAACCACACCCCGCAACCCCATATTGCCTTGGTCTGGACCAGGACGTGAGTTTGTTCCCGTCCGCCAGCGCCACCAAAAGTCGTTGTAACTAACAGTGTGCCCAGTTTCACGGACTTCAATGTTGCCATTTCCGTTCTCTCCCTCTTCATGCTGCTCAGCAAGCTCACGGCCTACATCATGAAGGTGTGGTTCCCCGTCCTCGCCACATTCATCAACACCTGCATGGTCGGCCTCTACATCGTAAGCGTCTACGGCAATGTCGGCCCTGACTACACCGATTCTCGTTATCCCGCTCCCGCCGCCTGGTACTTCCGCAAGGGCTGCGACCTAGCCAAACCATACGGTCACTACAAGTCTTGTAGATTAGCCCAGGGTGCCCTGGTTCCCGCAGTCTATCTGCTGTAAGTTTGGTCTTTATTCGCTAGCTAGAACCAGTGACTAACTCCTCGACAGTGTGGTCTACTTTCTGAATCTTGTCTTTTCCATCTGGGCCATGTTGCCCAACAAGGAGAACGACATCGAGGAAGAGGACGACGAGTTTTCAGCCCCCGAGCCCAAAGAGTCCCGCAACTGGGAGATGCACAGCATGAAATCTCCCATAAACTACAACCCGCAGGCCTTCACGCCCCGCACCGAGGCCTTCCACACGCTCGACCGCCAGCTACCGCTGCGATCCCAACATAATCGATACGGCTGAGGCGGGAACCTAGCGCGGAGACGATGAGACGAGAAAGCTTCAAAAGCAGCCGCCGTGGGACTTGTGGCCCTCTGATAAAGCGCTGAAGGAACTGAATCTGGATATTTTCTTTCGAGTAATTGGGATTGGAGTTTTGGATCCTGCGCATGATATCCCATTGGACCTGTCGGGGCGCCCCAGAGGCACATCGACCCTGCAAGATTTACGTCTTGGGACAACAAATTTGACCTGTACAATTTTTCCCTTTGCTTCTACGCTGCCTAGCTGGCACATCACCTTTTTGTCGTCAGACGGTGGCAGGTCGGGAGTTCATGATGGCCGGTAAAAGAAGCCGGCTGGGGGTTTGATCAACCCCACACCCAGACCTATGAACTTGGTACCTTACACGTACATAATGCACACACTTGAGAACCAACCCCTGCGCTCCCTCGTGCATTGCAGCCGTGAGAACATGTCGCACGCCACACGCTGATGTTCATTGTTTGATTCTTGTTGCTCAATATTCCATGCTATCGTAGACATGGCTCTGAGCAACTCAACCTCACAGCTATCAACAGCCATCGTCGGCTCCACCTCCGCATCTTAGATAGCCGGGCCGGAACCAGAACCGGCACCGGGTCTTTTGCCCCACTGAAGCTGTTTCCCCCATCCAAGACGTCACCCCGCCATCATCCCAGCGGTAACCTTTCATCTCTGGAGGGCGTCTCTTGTCATTTTGCGCTGCCAATTGATCGATTGTCTAATTTTTTCTTGGACTCGCAATCTCTCAGCTTGCCCTTTTGTCCTGCTGACTGTCATGACCCTCGTCCACCGTATCCTCGCTCCGTCGAGCAGAGGGGCACTGCGACATGGGCCCGGCATCGCTCTGATTCTGGCCCGCCGAGCTTCGAACTTGGCGCCTCCCAAGGTGAGTGACGATTGATGTAGCTCTAGATATAATCAGGCGCTGACATGTCAATCTGTAGCTCAAGGACCCTTCCTTGCTAAAACAGAACGTCTGCTATGTCAATGGCGAATGGGTCCCGGCCAAGTCGGGCAAAACATTCAAGGTCAATGGTGAGTGATTCGCGACCATGTATCAGAAGCCGCGATGTTCACGTCTGTCGCAGACCCATCCACGAGTGCTCTCATCGGCACCAGTCCCGAGTTCGACACCAACGACACCCAGTCCGCAATCACCGCAGCTGCCGATGCCTTCCCTGAGTTCCGCGCCAAGACGGGTCGTGAGCGCTCCAAGCTGCTGCGCGCCTGGTATGATCAGATGACTGCCAATGCTGAGGACATCGCCACTCTGATCACCTGGGAGAATGGCAAACCGCTCGCAGATGCCAAGGGAGAGACCACCTACGCCGCCAACTTTCTGGAGTGGTTCAGCGAGGAGGCGCCACGAGTGTACGGCAACACCATCCCTACCTCTGTGCCTGGAAACCGAGTCTGGACCCTCAAGGAGCCGGTTGGGGTGTGTGGATTGATCACACCGTGAGTGGCAACCCCATCTTGAATTGTTGCAAATTGAAACTGACCGGATAATAGCTGGAACTTCCCTGCGGCCATGATTACGAGAAAGATTGGCCCCGCGCTGGCAGCAGGTTGCACCGTGGTCTGCAAGGCTCCCAGCGAGACCCCCTTCACTTCCCTAGCCCTGGCTGAGCTTGCTCATCGGGCGGGCATCCCCAAGGGTGTCGTCAACATTGTGACAGCCAATGAGAACACCCCTGAGCTCGGAGAGTTGCTCACTTCATCGCCTACCATCAAGAAGATCTCATTTACCGGCTCCACTGGCGTTGGCAAGCTCTTGATGAAGCAGTCTTCCAGCACTCTTAAGAAGCTCTCGATGGAGCTTGGCGGAAATGCACCATTCATTGTCTTCGACGACGCTGATGTCGATGCTGCCGTCGACGGGGCCATCGCCTCCAAGTTCCGTTCCTCGGGCCAGACCTGTGTATGCGCAAACCGCATTTATGTGCAGAAGGGTATCTACGATGAGTTTGCCCAGAAGCTTACCGCGAAGGTCCAAGAGTTCCGTGTGGGTAACGGCTTTGAGCAAGGCATCACCCATGGGCCTCTGATTCACGATCGGGCCGTCTCCAAGGCCGAAGCCCACGTTCAGGATGCCGAGCAGAAGGGCGGCAAGGTCACCATCGGCGGTCAGCGAATCGCCGACCTGGGCCCCAACTATTTCGCACCCACAGTCATCCGAGACATGACTCCCGAGATGGACATGGCGTCCCAGGAGACTTTTGGACCTGTTGCCGGTTTGTTCCCCTTTGAGACGGAGGAGGAGGTGGTGAAGATGGCCAACAACACCAACGTGGGTCTTGCTGGATACTTCTTCTCAAGGGACATCGCACGAGTGCACCGCATCGCCGAGAGCCTCGAGGTGGGCATGGTCGGCGTCAACACAGGCTTGATCTCGGATCCTGCAGCACCATTTGGTGGTGTCAAGGAGAGCGGTTTTGGTCGCGAGGGTTCGCTGGACGGCATTGGAGAGTACCAGGTCACGAAGATGGTGACATCTGGAGGAATGGGCAAGCCGTTGCAGGCGTAATGACCGCTCTTAGGCAGTCTTATTCATAAATTAAGCTCGGGAGAGGATAAAACAACATAAACCACAGCATAAACCATAACCAAATTATTGCCTGTGAATAGTTCCATCCTCCTTCTCAGGGAGGTTGGTGGGACAGAAGTGGTCCTCGTTGCCGGCGTTGGAGCCGGCGTCCCTCATCTCGTCGTCGTCGTCGTCGTCGCCGTCGCCGCCGTTCTGGGGAGGGTTGGTGCTGTCGCCGCCGCAGCCGCTAATGCGGCCTCTACGGCCACCGCCTCAACCACCACGACCACGTTTGCTGCCGCCGCCGCGGCCCCCACCGCCAGACACAAATGTGACAGTAAAGTTATTAAAAGTCTGGGTACCTATACATAGTCTATACATAAATTAGTACTGAGGTAGCCCTAGGATTAGTGGTAATGTAGGGTGAAGAGCATAATGATAGTAAGGGAACTAGGGGGTGGGGGCGGATGTAGTACTTAGGTACCAAGGAAGATGGTGATGATGGCGAGGAAAGGAAAAGGAAAGAAAAGAAGAACTAGGATGTGCGCAAAGAAATACCAAACCGAAGCATGGATGGCAGCTGGTTGACAGCTGGCAGCTGGCGGTTGAGAGTTGGGCCCTGGATCATTGGACTGGACAGCTAGTCACGATCATCCCAACTACCCGACGCAGGTTGGTAGGTACTCAACCTTGGAGCATACTATTCACAGTTACACTTCAAAGGGTATTATTAGATTCAATACCTGATCTATGTAAACGGGCATGGTTTGGAGGTTCTGGCCCTGTTACTCGGTAGCCACTCGTTCGCCATCAGATGTTCAGGTAACAAACCGAGACGTCCTAAGTACAGGGCTTCTGCCTCACGCCCAGAACCCAACTCATACGGCTTCATGGGGAACGATTGTAGCTATGAATCTTACTGTCGGTGAACATATCTGTTCTTACGGAAGACCAGTGCCTACTCGAAAATGGTCCATTCTCAGGGGTCACGTCAATCATTAGCTAAGAAGACAGCCTAGCAGTCTAACAGCTGCAAACAATCGCCCATCGTTACTAAAGGAGACCATGGCGGCGGAAGTGACAAGTACCTGTCCACCCTTGTCAGCGTCACTCCTCCAAGATGCAGGTTCGTTCTCAGACGGCGCAGTCACTCGGGTCTTAGCGGTAGAAAAGAAATGCCTTTTCCACTGGGCCATACTTAGCGACCTATGAATCATTGGAAAAGGTCATTCAATTGCCCCAGGTTGTCAATTCCGTGGTGAACAGATGCTCAATATATTTGTCGTGGTGCTGTAGGCGGGGTGCCCAGCTTCACATGCAGTCTCAGTTTGAGCACATTAGTCGCGTGGTCTAGTGGTTCTTGAGGCATCTCGATTTGAATTTGTGGTTGAGCGCCATTGCGTCCAAATGGAGCCAGTCATGCTCTCAAAAGACGTAAAATTATTGCTTGCTGGTTGGCAGATGCCTTTAAAGAATAATATACCTACCCACGCCCGCCCGCCCACCCCGCTCGCCCGCCTGAATCTTCTGCTAGAAGCTGAAAAATATTGGAAAATGTGAACCCAAAAAGATAATTGAAATGATCGCGGCAGGGATCGAACCTGCGACCTTCTCCGTTTCAGATTATTGTAAAGGAGACGCCATGAAACCACTAGGCCACGCGACCTATCTTGTTCTTGACATTTCGCGTTTTATAAGTCATTATAGACTAATGCAATGAAACAACTCAATAAAGTAATTAATATGTTTACTTTGAATTACATTTAACTAGCCTCACTCCCAATCTTTAACTAATGACTTGCAACATACGTAAACTTTATAAAATTGAAAAGAGTTATTACTATTTACATAACCAAGCCTTTGACCACGGCTGCCTTTTTCGCCTACACTCAGCATCTCCCGCCATACCAAATTACAGCATAAGTACGGAGTAAGGGAATGCAATGAATATTGCGCAAATTCAATTGATGTACAGCCCGCGACATGGCTAGATCGTTTAAGAAACGCACATCCAAAGTTTCCCAGCGGAGGAATAGAATTTCTGTCAGTCCGGCTCTTATTCCGGCTGCAGCTGTGGCCGCGGCTGTGACTGCGGTTCCGGTTACGTGTCTGGGTCCAGGATGCCTTTACGGCTTACGCCCTCTCTTCCTCCTCCTCTCGTTCCTCTGCCCCTTGTATTGTTATGGCATCATGATCTTAACTTAACATTCGCTAGGTTAGTCGCGAGCTGCAGTAGCAGAGGAATTAACGTTACGTGGTAGAAGGTTGTGCGGATAGCAATACTCAAGAAAAAGACATCGCCTTAACCTCTAGGCCATGCGACCGATCTTGCTTTTGATGCTGAAATCGTGATTTATAGATCATGATAACCTCACACAGCCGTGGGTTGCAGCAACACCAAGTTTGGCGTACACTTGCAAGCTGATGAGCATGCTCTAACTTGTTTTTGACTAAAGTTTAGTTTTCTATTCTTAAAATTCCGTTTCCAATGTGTGGTGTCGTCTGAATATGGAACAATTTGAGTGAACCGCTGAAGTCGCAAATGTAAAGATCGGGTGGGAGTTGCCTTGCACCATGAACAGCACACAAAGATGAAAAACACTTGAAGGAAGATCCTGTCCCTCTCAATCGATCGAACTGATAGTAAGATGATCAAAAGGAAAAATGCACACATGTGAGTACAGTCAAAACATGCCTTTGGGTCGTCGAGCTTATTTCGGTTAAGTTGATTGTTTTGGTTCTGCTCGGATGGATCATACCGCCGGAGTCTGGTGCATTAGTATCACATGAGACACGTCTTTGCACACATTATCCCAATCCCTGTCTACAAGGTCATCGTTGACGGGTCAATACTAGTGTAAGTGAATAAAGTTAACGTCAATGGCAATCATGAGAGATGATTTAGCTCTGAGCACAACCACAGTAATCACACCCTGATAACTAACCGGCGATTGAGCAGCTGGGAACTATGCATCTGGAATGTCTTTGTTGTTACTCGTTGCTAGTGAGAGGCGTAATGACTTGGCCGTCTCCTGCATTCACACACATTAAGTTGTGAGCATTTATCTGAGAAGAGCCATCGGGTTCTCGACCGCTACACTTCATCTACAAGCAGGCCCATATGCTCAGGTGGTGACTACAGGTTGGCCTCCCGCATAGTGGTTGGGGCTCGGGAAATGTCACTCACACGCCTGGGTCTCATTTTCTCTTGGGAAGACCATAGCAACCTCGGATGAAACAATAATCCAATGCTTCCACTGTATGTTTCGATATGGAAAAATTTGAGTAACGGGAAATTTTCAAGACCTCTCTATTCAACTGTCCATGTTGTGGTGCTCGTGTCTCGGAGACTCAATCTGCAAGTCTGCATGGGGACCAACAAAAGAAAACCCCCAAGCCCGTGACGAACAATTGAGGTCAACGCCAAACACTCTTGCTATGTCACGATTAGATTGTGTTTATTTGACAAGTTGTTTCTGAGCCTTGTTGTTGAGCACAGAAGGACCCCCGCAGCACTGCAGCCAATAAAGGTGGGGTACGTACCCGAGAGGCATGGAACTTGGTGAACTGGCGTCGGAAGCTCACATGCAAGGATTTCGACCTCACTTTCTCGCCCGTCACAATAAATATGGCATTCCCACGAGCCAATGCGCCCGCGCGGCACTGCCTGCGCCTCCTGGCTGCTGAAGGGTGTGTTTTCAATCGCATGGTGCTGTCGTGCAATCCACAAAGCACGACTCGAGCTAAACCTCCAGCTGACTGACTGAATATATAGGCCGTCTCTGCAGAGCATCCCTCGACGAAGCCTCGCGACCGCCCTCCCCGTCCAGGCCTCGGCCCGCCTCTTCAGCTCCTCGACTCCTTTCCTCAAGAAGCGCAAGATCGCCATCCCCACCGACAGCCCCAAGCACCGAGACGCCGTCGCCAGGGCCGATGCCGCTGCAGCACCACCGCCCTCATCATCGGCAGCTCATAAGCAGGGCCAGGCCAACGCCGAGGACCCCCTCGACTTCACGGCCGTGACGTCAGCGTACGCCCCGATCGACGCCCACTTCAAGGCGCAGCTCTCCGGCATGGTCCACGGCGGCCGCTTCAACCCGACCAATCTCGGCGCCCTGCCCGTCTCCGTCAAGGACCCCGGCGCCGAGGCCGCGGCGTCCTTCCCGCTCAGCGAGCTGGCGCAGGTCGTGCCCCGCTCCGGCCGCACCATCTCGCTGCTCGTCCACGAAAAGGACTACATCAAGCCCATCATGTCCGCCGTTCAGTCCAGCCCCGAGTTCAACCAGCAGCCCCAGCGCTCCGAGGACAACGAGCTCGAGCTGCTGCTCAAGATCGAGCTCGAGCGCAAGGACGACGTCGCCCGCCGCATCAAGGAGACCATGCAGGCCTACCGCGAGCGCATCCGCCAGGTGCGTTCCAAGCATGAAAAGACGCTCAAGGACTGGAAGAAGAACGGCACTGTGCTACCGGACCTGATCAAGCGTGCCGAGAAGGAGCTACAGAAGGTGCAAGACAAGAAGATGAAGGAGCTTGACCAGGAGGAAGCTCAGATGATCCGCCAGCTGTAATCAAAGCTGCATTGAGTTATGGTGTCATGTATTTGTACGATCATAAGCCGAAATGTCGAAAAAGAGCCTGCCCAAAGGGCCATGTTCAAAGACCACGAGCGCTGAAAAGGTGGATGGGACGTTGAATATATTACATATCGTGACAAAGTGTACACTGGTTTTTTCCTCTCCAGCCATTTCTCGTTTTCCCGTATATCCCCATCGTCTTAGGCTTGTGCCTTGGGCTTTGCTGCCGGCTTTCCGCCCCTCTTGGCCAACAGCGATGTCAGCTTGTTCTCGAATGTGTTGACGTCGTTGATTGTATAAGTTTCGGCGCGGAGGTGCCACGAGCGGGACAGGCCAACGGGATCCATGGCAAACTTGGGGGTCTCGTGCTGACCCATGACGGCCTTTTCAAGGACGACCTTGCGGACGGCCTCCTCGGCGTCTGTGATGAACGGTTTCGCGGCCTGGCCCTCGCCCTCACCCTCACCCTCAACGGGCAGGGCGGGCTTGTTCTTCTGAAGGTGCTTCTCGGCGGCGGCTCTGGCCTCGGCGTCGGCAAAGTAGCGCATGCCGCCCGCCTCAATCTCTGTAGCGTAGTGACGAGCCTGGAAGGCCTGCGGGGCTCCGACGTGGTCAGCTGTGCCGAGGACGCTGAGGTTCTGCAGAACGGCAGCCGACTTGCCGGCCGAGCTGGTGGGCGCGACTGGCGCATAGTCGGCGAGGGACTCGAGCGTCAGACACGGATCGAACTGGGTGGCCACGCCGAACCTGATGCTGTCGTCAAAGGCCTGCTCGTCGGCGTCCAATCGAGCATCCTCGTTAACGCGAGGTTTGCGCTCCTTGTCCTCACCCTCCTGGCGCCTCCCGCCTCGTCCCCGTCCGCCTCGGCCTCGACCGCCTCGGCCTCCTCGACCTCCTCGAGCACCTCTAGCTCCAAAGCCGCCTCTGGATCCTCTACCGCCGAAGCCGCCACGGCCCCTAAAACCTGAGCCCTCACCACCGAAAGCACCACGGCCTCTGAAAGAAGAACCCTCGCCATAACCGCCACGGCCCCTGAAAGAACCCTCACCACCATAACCACCACGGCCCCTGAAAGAAGAACCCTCGCCACCATAACCACCACGGCCCCCTCTGTAAGAAGGACCGTCACCTTGTTGGCCGCCTCGTGCCCCTCGGCCGCGGAAGCCTCCACGGCCACGGAACGATGTTCTCGGAAGGCTCTTCACATCGAGGACTCTGGGCGCGCCCGCCGGGCCAGAGGTGGCCTGGTCGCCTCGGGCCGGGCTGCGGGATCGGGCGAGGGAATTGATCTCGCTCGCAGCGTTGCGGGATCGGCTGTGGGGAGAGCCGCTCGCGGCATCGCTGGGGCCTTTGCCATCGGCGGCTTGCAATTGCGTCGTGGAGAATTGGCGGATACAGCTTCGGAGAGCATCCGAGGCCTGCTCGAGCTCTGGCCTTGCCCGGCTGCACACCGAACGGAAGGCGTGGCGATGCATTGTTGCTTGGTGTTGTGCGAGGTTGCTGGGCCTGAGTCGGCAGCGTGGGATGTCCAAATTTCTGCCGTTGTTCGATTGAATGACTAAGCCATAATGGCGCATGTCTATTGGCCATTCCACTTACATCCATTCCTCATTTCGCCGACAACTTGGTTCACGATCATATAGATATAGCTTGTCCACAGGTTACAAAATCATTCCAGTCCATAATCGATTTAGGCAATAACATCTCTGTATATCTTGTGGAGCGGAAAAGCTATTTGTTGGGAAACCAACCCAAAGCAAGATCCGCATATTCCCAGCAGTGCAACGCCAGCATGGAGCAGTCTCTGCAGGACGTGGACTGCTTCCCATCATCAGCTTTGAGACCGGAGCTATACATGTACATAGCGCCCCGCAAGGACGCAGCCCTTAGTCCGCCGAGATTCCCCAGGGCGGATGCTGAAGCCATGTGGCGGCGACATGGATCTTGCATGCCGAGTTGACCATTTCTGGTTGTTGGTTCTCAGACAGCTACGTCTGACCACTCGGATCAAGCCAAGGTCGATGCAGACCACCCCAACACGGTTGTCACCCCGTGGGTATGATAAACACATTCCCCATGCTGAATAACCTTG